GATCGTTCTCATACTATGCGAGTAACACTGAATATATGCGTGCAATTATAGTAAGTGATAAAGGTAATTTAAAATTTATAAAATTTGTATTACACATGTGCTATATCATTTAAATGACCACGATTATTTATATTATATATGAATTATTTATCCGTATTAGGAGGGGGACAAAACCGTTCCGGGTAGTGGAATCTTCAGACAATAATAGAACGTTCACTTTCTTTAGATTAATCTTTTTATATTACAGGAAACATAGCATGAAGATCGGCAATAGAAATGGGAATTTTTTAATTCTTTTAAATGGCACGAGCTTTTCCAAATATGTAACTACCTGGAATGAAATTTTCCCTTCTACTATAATTAACTTACACTATCCTTTTTCAAGTAGCATGAATATTTTAAAGATTTTTACGAACACGTTTTCAATGACATACATAAACCCATAATATTAAGTACTTTTCAATTCAGGATTTATTTCGTGTCTCATTTCTGTGGTTAATTATACTCTGATATGTTTTGACGTGGATTATTAAAATACTTTATATTAATACTCAGAATTAGTTCAACTTCTCATTATGTTGTTCAAGGATAAGATAACCCATATACTTTTCGTTGTTTTATATTGTCGACAGGTGTAGCAAATTGGTACACTTTCTCCAGGAATCTTAATACACGTAGCTAAGTAGCCTCGACTACTCTAGATTAGATTCTCCCCGTCTCATTACACCTTGGCGGTCAATGTCTTCACCCATTCTTTTCCTCTATTTTCCACGATATCAAAATTTCTAATATTCCTTGTACACGTAGCGACTGATTACGTTTCAAATAAGTGAAATAAGTATTCGATATAATATAATATACGTTAGAACTCTGTACACAGAAAGTCTTCTGAAAACGAGAAAAATTGAGAGCTAAAAAATCCCAGATCCAAAGGAGTCTCGCTTTCCTTAAAAGATCACACATTACCAACGACCACGATTCCCCAGTTTCCCAGTTGGAAGCTGGGTGAAACCGATATCAATATTTCTAACATTCCTTGTACACGCAGTGACTGATTACGTTTCAAACGAGTGAAATAAGTATTCAAAACTACTATACGTTGCAACTCTGAACACAGAAACGAACTCTTCCGAAAACGAGGAAAATTAAAAGCTAAAAAACGTTTGAACTGGCCCCGAATATTTGATCCCAGATCCAAAGGATTCTCGCTTTCCTTAAAAGGCACACATTTCCAACGACCACCCGTTTCCCTAGTTTCCCAGTTGGAAGCTGGGTGAAACCGAATCCGCCAATGGGGATCTCGTAATATGAGTACTTTGGTTTAGAACGGAGCAATCAAAGCGATCGCGACACGCGTGGCGTGGCTTTATTAGAAACGAGTCCGTAAGACACGCATCAGCAGACCAAACGACACGGCTAGGGGGCCATTGGGTCGATCGGTACTCAAGGGCGGACGAATAGCGGCCGCTCGTAAATCGACGAAGACTACTACGACGACAAAACGGTCGTTTCCTTGCGAAATTCCGCGGCAGAAGATTGCCGATTGCGATTGAACCCGATGAGACATCCAGGCACCGTTATTCCAGCATGGTGACGCGATGGTATGGGCACCTGGTACGAGCCTACATTTCTCTCTCTCTCTTTCTTTCTTTCATTCTTTCTCTTTCTCTTCCCTTTCTTTCTCGCTCCTCCAAGGCTCGTTTCGCTCCTTCTACGTCGAACAGCCTCTAAGCACCGCGTGAATCGGCCTAGTGTACGTACAGAGAAACACCAACGCCCGGTTAGGTCGCACTGTTCACACGTGCACGAAAAATTTTTCTCTTTTTAGGTACTCCTGCTGTTCCTGTTCCACCTTCCTCCCGACATCCTCGCGTACCCGTCATCCGCTCCACTATGTGCAGAACCGACTGGTAGCTATTATTTACTCGACACGCGTCATTTAATCAAAATTCTGAATCCACCAGCGTTGGCTAATGACAGACCGTGATCGGTCGTCGTACTATCTTCCATCTTTATTTTTAGAGTTATTCCACTTTATTGCGTCGCTTTTGCATCCGCGAGTGAGTAATTTGGCGCATGTTCCGCCACCGTATTGGTCAATTATTCTTTCTTGCGGCGCGCTTGACCGTTGCGGTTTATTTAATACGGGTTCCCTCGTGTCGTGTCAGCGTTACAGGGTCACCTAGAACAGGTGTACAACCGAAACTAGACAGAAAAGTTCTGTATGAATCGAGCTCTGGATCGGGTTAGAACGACGCGATAGATGATGATAGTAACCTGTTGATGACCCTTGAGATAGCAACTATGTTGATGACCTTAGAAGAAAGAATTTAATAAGAAACGGAGATAAATAGCACTGCGTGGGCATATTTTTAATAAAAACAGCAGTCATTTTGATTCATAAGGAGGAGGGAGAGTAGAAAACATACGGCAAATTAGCCACTTTATTTATTTAATGTTATATCCTCTTGAAAACGGATTTAATAGTAGGCTTATTATTTTTATTTAACTCCAGTGTGTAGTGATGTATATTTGCATCATCGAGCTGCTCATGGACGGCCATATATATTCGTTGATTTTTTTCTAATCTTTGAATACGGATACCATTTCATGGCTAGGTTTTACTAACAGCAATTTTAACTGCAACTTGCTACTTACGTATCCGTATTTCTTATTTCGTTTGTTTTATGTCCATGCGTGTTGCACTGACGACGTACGTAACGAGGACGGTAAATAAAATGGTACGAACGAAAGTTTTCTGAATTAAGTAGTTCACTCACGAAGAATCTTAACCCCTCAGGTACCTAACGATGCATATTAACATAATCAGCATTTTACACGCATCACCTTACGCTGCAAAAACATGTGATTTTTCTTGAATTTTGAATACAACTTTTATATTCTACGTTATAAATTGTTTTTTATCGAAGAAAATGGGAATGAATGGGAAAATGTGAATGGCATCGGATGCATAATCTGTCTCGTAACAAAAAAAAGTTATATTAGATAAAAAAAAAAAAAATAGCATAAGGATGTATATATTATATATGACACGTATATGGGAAGTAGTTAATCCTTCCTTATTAATGCAAAAAGTGTTAATGTCCCCTGATTAGTATGTTGACTAGAGGAACTATAAAATTATTCTTTATAGCACTTCTTGCTCGTACACCAGATTTTTACTTATTTTTTTTTATTTAATAAAACAACTTGTTACGTATAAATCACATCGAAGTGGACATAAACGTAAGGTTGTAACGTTTATGTTCAATAAACTAAAGTATGCTGGTAAATACTACATTCTTTGTTCAATTTTTAAATATAGCAAGCATGACGTATTAGAAGTGGTTGTCAGGGGGCCCAACAAATTGGGTAACGTCTGAGATTTTTGTTCGGTCAAACTTTGTACGAATACTCATACAATATTCCATGATTTTAGATGTTAAAGAGAATAAATCTAGATAGAATTTTTGAATTTTAAACAATAAATTGTATGAGAAATTGTGGGTATGATAGTTTCCAATTGTCTGAGAACAAATATCATTTTCGTGGACAATTCGAGGAATTTGGTGTGGAAGCTAAAACAATTACTTCCAAAGATTAGCTGTTGAAGAAAATAAATCCAGATAGGATTTTTGAATTTTAAACTGTATGAGAAATTGTGGAGAAAGTGTGGATATGCTAGTTTCCAATTGTTTCCATACAAACACAAAGATAATAAATCTGATAGGATATTTTAATTTTAACCTTGTAAAAATATGTAAGCTGTACAACAAATTGTGCCTAGTTTCCAATTGTCTGAAAAGAAAGTATCGTTTTCGTGAACAATTCGAGGAATTTGATGTAGAAACTAAAAAAATTAATTCTCAAGACCTGATGTTAAAGAAAATAAATCTTGCTAGGATTTTTGAACTTAACCCCTGTGAAAATAAGTTCTATGACAAATTGTATCTAGTTTTCAATTGTCAGAAAACAAAGTATCATATTTGAGGAATTTGATGTAGAAACTAAAAAAATTAATTCTCAAGACCTGATGTTAAAGAAAATAAATCTTGATAGGATTTTTGAACTTGAACCCTGTGAAGTTCTATGACAAATTGTGGCTGGTTTCCAATTGTCTATGTTAAAAATTTAAGAATAAAAAATGGAAATTTTGTTACATGAACCCTAAAAAGAGTCGATTGATATTGGGGAAACGGTGCCAGAGCAAAGTGTTGAGGCACGTAGGCGGCCGTGCAGGTACTTTGACCCTATAAATCGGACCGTTTAAGCGCACGGTGTTCGCGCCTCCGCGGTCGAGGCCAGTGTCCCGGTGGCGGAATAAATTTCGTGGGTGTTCCGCGGCAAGGTTACGTCAGGCGTTGGAGGGGCCTGAGAAACCGTTGCTCCTGGCTAAGAATAGAGAGCGTTTCACCCAATCGGCTGGGTTATACGTGAACGAAATTCAGGTCTATCGGGTATCGTCGAACGGCGGGGGAGTCGTGATTTCGATAGGTGTACAACGACGAAAGGGTACGAAACGGGGGAAGAATTCGGGGTACAGCCAACGGACCACGGGAGCGAGAGTGGGAAGGAGAAAGAGGTTGCTTTCAATGGTGTCGTACCTGCGATCGAATTATGCGTACCGTTCTGTCCTCTTTAGTCGGCAGCGGTCCCACTGCCCCCTCCCCCTACTGCCGATCGGTCGAGGAAGAAACGTGCGCCGCGACTCGGCCAGGTGTATCCAGTGCCTAAGAGTCAGCCGGTCGACGTCGTTATACTCTGTAGCGCGGTGCTCGCGAGGTGGCGTATTATCATTGCAAATCGTCGCCGATTTTCCGAAGTGGTTGCGCGTGTGCGATTAACGAAATCAGCTCGACCTCTGCGGGTACACACGGTGGTTGGTGCACACCGGGTCCGTTCTTGTGCGGTGATCGACGCTGTCGGAGAGATCTCGCTGAATTTTTCGGAAAAAACCGAGAATCGTTCTTGTGGGGGCGAACGTCTGCTACGGAAAGAACGCGAACCAAGGGAAACCCCTGTTGGGTTTCATCGTTGCAATTTCGATATCGACAGGTACGTTCGGCCAGAGTGTTCCGGAGGATCGTGTAATTATTTTAGCGCGTCTAGGTAAAACAGAACGGGCTGCGGGAATCAGAGACCGTTCGTTGTATTTTACCGCAACGCCCCGCCGCCGGGGACGCCCAGATATTTGTACAATTCCGGTACTTGAGCTTTCGGTTCGCTTCATCGAGCCGCGCGTACACAGTCGGCCCCACGGTGTCGACGCAGGTTGTTATTTAGTTACGCGCGCTAGAAAACAACGTGACGGGAATACAGAGGCCGTCGAAACGCGACGATATTTGCACGCTGGCGTTTTTTTTTTTTTTTGTTTTACCACCTTTGGTCGAGGCGCATCGAAGGAAGGAAATACTCGAATCGATTAAGGTCTCGCGCGATCTAGCGGAAACTATCGCCGGGAAAAGTGTTCGGGGCTACGCGTTTCGAAACTCCGGTTCCATTCCGTCGATTTATTGTACGTTTGGTTGTTTTGTAATTTCTTTTTTCTCACGGACTTTGATGCGTGAAACGCATTCTTCGAGTCTCTCATTTTACGATCAGTGCACACACCGGAAGACAAGTATTTATGCTAGCTCGGTTATGCTGGCTCCGAGGCTAGAAGGTGGGATTGAATTGTATTAATAAATCTGATACATATTTTTTTTATTAATATTTTGGGGACATTGAACCTTTATATATCGAGACTTGTTAGACAATTTTATATTAACGGGTGGATTAAATATTGAGTTATTGTTATATTCTAAGGAACTGAAATTTTTAAAATATGTACAAATGTTTTTTATAGATATTGAATGAATATTTATGTGCACTTAGTAAAATGACTGTATAATTGGATTTGGAGAGCTATAAATGAATCTATGATAATGGTCTCCATCGTATTGAGTAATGGACACCGGTGTCCAGCACCAGTCTTTTCGTTCAAGCCGCGTCGGTCACCGGTGACCGACAATTCGATATGCATCCCATTTCTCATAATTCTTACTATAAATAAATTCTAATGCTTGTGAATATTTAAATATTATATACGTCATTTAAAATATGGAACTTTAACATAATAATTTAATACCTCAGAATAAAAAATTTGATCGTCACTCGACGTGTCAATAAAAATCTATGGTAACGATTATATTCAATTATTGTTTTATTTCAAGGAAAATATTAAATAACACTATTATTAGGATCAATTGACATTTTAGATGAAACTGAACCATAATGTAATCTATCTTATTATGAAAATCTATCCTAATGGTCGTATTTAATTATTGTTCAATAGTTGTATTACGATATTCCAAATAACTAACTAAACAACACTCTGAATAATTAACTCATATAAACATCAATTATGAAAATCAGTCTAACGTTTTCTAAACATATATTTATAAAATCATTTAATTCTACTCGAAAACAATTAAAAACAATAGATTCTTCACTTATTAAGCGTAACATTGCTTGGCAAAAATAAAGAAAGAATAGTAGGTTTATACATTCGTTTTTAATGAAGCTCAAAATCAATAGAGTACCAAAGCTCTCGACGAACAGTATCGATTAATACCCATCAAAAGTGGTTACCAATTTATCGAACGATAGCCAATTAAATCCTGTTATAATTCTAAGTCCGCAGATATACACGAATATCCGAAAATCCGGACGTTGATTCTAAATTTAAATAATAATTGTGATGTACAATTTATTACATTAAATTCGTCGGCATATGCAACAAACAAAATTAAATACAAATTATTAATACATCGAACTCTAAGTACGCAGTGATCGTGAAACATGGCGCAACAATTTAAGAGATAAATACGCAGTTCAATATCCATAATGATTTAGAAAATTTATTTCGTACGGAAATCGTCTAGTGTGATGCATTGAGTATTTTATAATAAATAATACAATCGTAAAGAAAATCATATATAAAAGCAAATCAAAAATGTAAAGTATAACTTTGTTTTAGATTCATTGAGCTGAATTTTAGTAAATTCAGGTTCATACGAAAAAATTTACTGGATATAGCAGTCTCTAATAAATTTCATCAGACAATTGATACAGTATATCTATCCTAGATTTGATTTAATTTATTAGAAATTGTATTCTCGATCTGTTTTAATAGATTTTCTATGAGAATATTTAGATAAATTGTTGCAAACATCGAAATTTTAGAATCCCAAATTTCCTAACTTTGTCTTGAGAAGACAACACTCAAGGTGTTGAATAGTGAACAGAACAACATCCAACGAATCAATCCTGGCAATTAATTGACACATTACATCTAATTCTCTCTAACACTTGTAGTATACCTAGCCCAGACCTGATTTAATACATGAATGGCATTCTATTGAAACCTCTAGCTGAATGATTCCCTCTTAAGAATGCATTCAGTGAATGTACTTCAACGATTGTTCGTCTCTGAATAGACAAATATTCAATAAATGAATCCGGTCGGCCAATTATCACGGTATACCCAAACCTGATACACATTATCAATAAGTGTATTTAATCCAGACGTATTATATTTAGATTTTACTTAACCTAGACTTGATTGAATACAAAAATAGTATTCTATTATAAATTCTAACCGAACATTTTTACTATCAAAGTCTTTAAATCACCTAATTCTTCCCCGTGAAAATACGCAAGAAATACATTGGTAGACCATATATGTAACATATCGATTTGATTAGCCACTTGATACATTAAACTTAACCTACATCGGAAATTATATTATTCTAAAAGAATGTTTAACTAACACAGACCCGATTCAATACAGAAATAATTTAAGCGAATCACTGGCATCAAAGGCTACAAAATTTACATCCACTAAATCCCTCATGGGAAGATACTCGATCACTTATGCGTCTCTAGACATATATCCACCGAACGAATTCGATCAGTAAATTGATACAGTAATCCTAATCCAGACTCGATTCTAACATACCAGAGAAAATTGCGTTCCTCTAACCCCGGACCCAGTTTGGCAAGCTTTATTACCACTATTAAAGTCGTTGGGAATTTAAATCCCCCGGATCCTTCTTAAGACACCCGATCACGATCGCGTCTCCGGCACAGATAAATATTTAACGAACGACCGGGTGAACAGGCGATTGACACCGTCGATTTTCCTGTTGCAGATAAACGTCCAGAGACAGGTGGAGCGGCATGATGACGAGAAAGCTCATCGCGACGTTCCTGCTGCTGCAGGGTATCGCGAGGCTCGGTCGCGTGGCAGCCGCGGACTCCACGCACGCGGCTGACCAGCCAGCCTCGTCCGCGGTCCCGTCGGGGCTTTCCGGGCCGGATTACACGGGGCCATCCGCCGGTTCCGACGAGTGCGACCCAGAAATGGTGGGCTTCGAGCTGGTGACCGGTTACGTGTTCACCGCGCCAACGAACATGCTGGAGTCCATACCAGGAACTCTGATGCTCACCGACTGCCTGGAGATCTGTCAGGCGAACGACTCCTGCCAGGCGGTGAACTACGAGACGGGACTGTGCGTGCTGTTCAGTTCGAACGCCGACAGCAACCCAGGTAAGATTGAATCGTTATCGTATTCGCGCGTGAACGCTGGCGGAGCCGATCGACGCGATATTCTAGCTGAAACGTCAACCGGGGGCCCAGAAGACTGTAGTCCACTGGGCGATCAGTCTTTCTCCCGATACGTCGACGTTGAACGGTGCCACGTATCCGGGGATCGTACATATATGTATGTTCACCGCCGAATAAGGGAATTCCGTGAAGCGTGTAAAAGCGTTCCGCGGAATGATTAAATGCCTAGGACGATGGATAAAATAGACGTGTGTCGTTTGTACGGGGCAGCCATCGCCGCTTTATGCAGCACGTGAGTCGCCTGGCTGAGAAGCGTAACGGGTTCGATACGATATTCGGACGGTGGACGGCTATTTGCTTGTTCGATTGTGAAGAAAGTATCCGCCGTTGGAATTTCGAGGTCGAAGAGAATGTAGAACGGATTGAAATCGCGTACGAAGAATTGCGTATTGTCCGGCTCATCTGTGCATACATACGAGAAAGATTGAGACTTTATGCGTTTATGCTCGGGACAACGGCCGTTACCAATAAACCATTCTGAAAAGCAACGGCCCGTACGACATAATATTTGGAACTCCCAAACGCGACGAATTGGGGACGTTGGAAATTTCAGTGATCGGAATAAATCTCATGGATTTTTTTTTATTAATACTTTGGGATCACTGAACCTTTACATGATTCAATTACTCAATGTATAATTTCTTATACTCAATGAATATTTATGTGCACTTAGTTGAATGACTGTATAATTGGATTCGTAGGCCTATAAATGAATCTATCATAATAGCTTTTAGCAGATAATACAGTGAGTGTAAAAAGTATTCGTACACTAGTCAATTTGAACAAAACCTTTGCAGAACTTTGTTTATTACAAAAGTATGTTAACAAAAACATGCATACATATTCTTAGAAATCTCTGGAACAAATGTCATTAACAACAAATTATTAATTTATATTTGTTATGAAAATATTAACAAATTTCCAGAAATTGACCTAAAATATACGCGTAATAAGTATTCGTACAGTCTTTGATTCGTAACATTCCACATAGAACGATTACAAGATAATCCATGATATGTAAACATACTTAGCATCAGTATGTCTGGAGACGCTGTCGGTATAGGTAGTATCCTGAATTCAAACATTATCAACGAAATTATCAGTAAAATGGGACGAAAACGCAAGGAAACCTCTGAAAAAGAAAGGAAAATTGTTATAAATTTACATAATAAGTGTAAAACACTGAGTGAAATTTCTAAAGTTTTAAATAGACCGAGGTCCACGATTCAAGGAATCATTGACAGATATGGCGATCGAAAAACTGTAAAAAATAATCCAAGAAACGGACGTAAACGAATAATAAATGAGTATACCGGCCGATGGATAATTCGAAAAATAAAGGAAAATCCAAAGATAAGTGAGGTGAAAATCACAGCTGAACTTAAAAATGATCTGGACATTAACGTATGCAGTAGCACAGTGCGTAATTTTTTACGGGATAGAGGATATCACAGCAGAGTAGCTCGTAAGAAATATTTCGTAAATGAAATTAATAGAGAGAAACGATTGCAATTCGTGAAAGAGTACGTTAATGTTCCTATGGAGCACTGGAACCGTATTATATTTACTGATGAGAGTAAATTTAACATATTTGGGTCAGATGGACGATGTACAGTATGGCGGAAAAAAATACCGAGTACGAAAAAAGAAATTTGAAGCCGACCGTAAAGCATGGAGGAGGATCAGTCACAGTTTGGGGCTCTACGAGTGCGAGCGGGGTTGGATCCCTGCATTTTATCGATGGTATCATGGATCACAAAATGTACATCGATATTCTAAAAAAGCATCTTCAGGTTAGTGCAAATAAAATGCAGTTACAGGGCAATTATATATTTTTGCAAGATAATGATCCAAAGCATAATGCTTATAATACACGTCAGTGGATCCTATATAATGTGCCGCAGCAATTAAAAATCCCTCCACAGTCTCCAGACGTAAATGTGATAGAGCACTTATGGAGTCATCTTGAAGAAAAAATTCAAGACCATCACATTTCTTCGAAACAAGATTCAAAAAATGCACTTTTAGAGGAATGGAACAAAATTTCTAGTACTATAACCACAAATTTAGTAAATTCAATGCCGCAAAGGCTTAAAGCGATTATACAATCTCAAGGAAATCCCACTAGATACTAAAATAACAAATAGACTGATTTTTGTTACGTTTATGTGCTAAAATTTACAGTTTTTGTTGTAAAATTAGAAGTGTACGAATACTTATTACACGTATATTTCACGCCAATTTCTGGAAATTTGTTAATATTTTCATAATAAATATAAATAAATAATTTGTTGTTAATGAGATTTGTTCCAGAGATTTCTAAGAATATGTATGCATGTTTTTGTTAACATACTTTTGTAATAAACAAAGTTCTGCAAAGTTTTTGTTCAAATTGACTAGTGTACGAATACTTTTTACACTCACTGTATTTGGAAGTCTGAAATGTGACATATTGGGGACGTTGGAAATTTCAGTGATCGGAACAAAGTACGCGTTAATTGTGTTTTAGTAAATCTCATGGATATTTTTTTTTATTAATATTTTGGAATCTCTGAACCTTTACCTAATTCAATTACTAAATGTATAATTTCTTATAGATGCTCAATGAATATTCATGTGCACTTAGTCGAATGACTGTGTGATTGAATTCGAAGGCCTATAAATGAATCTATCATAATAGCTTTTATCAGATAATATTTGGAAGTCTGAAATGTGACGTATTGGGGACGTTGGAAACTCTAGTGATTGGGACAAAGTATGTGCTAAATAGGTTCATAGGAATCTGATCTCTGGCGCGAAGTTGTAGATATAATTAGAAATTCTGTGATAAAAAGCAATACTGGGTATATTCAGATGCTACATGCAAGAATAAATAGAAATGGACGAATAGCATTTTCTCGTTCAAGGCTTTGTTTTCGAAAAAATCGAATTTTAATACTCGTACTGTATGCGTGCGATAGAGTACGAGTTGGACATCAGCGTAAGTAGAAATAGTGATTAATGGACAGACACGTCAGGCACATCATATTCGATCGCACGCGTATCCCACGAATCTTCAAATTAAATTATCTCGGATAAAATATTGCTCTTTTTTTTCGACTTATTTTTAAAGTACAAATTAAATTATATATATTCCAAGTAATAAAATACGGCGTAATATTTAATTTTAAGTTTTCGAAAAGGAAAAAGAGGAATACCGGGCGTGTAATATCGATCAAAATTGAATTGTAATCCCATCGTTCCAGCTGCTGATTCACATTTAGGAAAAATATACTTGTAGCCACCGTGACTATCCAAATAAATATAAGGAAGAGGGATAATGGTTATTCAATTATGACTGTGAAATGAACGAACATAATATTTATCTCCCCAACGTTGACGTAGTCGTAACAAGTCCTTGATTGCTTTTACTATAAAACAACATCGTTAAATGTTTTATGGTTCCCGCATTTTGTCGACATTTTTCCTTCATCGATGACTAATTAAAATTTTATGAACTAGTTTCTACCGGATATACTACGTATTAGCGCACAGGAACTTTGTTTTAATAAATTATACTGCAACACTTCGTTACATTTTACTTTGCAAGCAACTTTTATTTCGTACATTGAATCAACTAAGTAATTTTTGTTCGAAAAGTCCTCCACAATTTTGCCAACGCAGTATAAACTCCGAGCTTTCGGGCAATTAAAAATTGCTATATTCGTCTCGACTGGTCCGAAAAAAAGGAAAACAAAAATAAAATGGATTTCTAGTCGGAGGAGCATTTTTCCCGAATGCTTAGCGTATTCTCGATTCGACCGTGCAACGCGTTTGATAAAATTCACTAGTTCGTATGTTGCCTGTCGAACGTACACACGTATTCGATCGTTATTAATCGTCCATTTCGTGGATTATATAGCGAGGCGTAGCGTAATCCGTGTTTGTCGATTGTATCGCAATATACCGTGTATCGATTGTGTACGTTGCGAAAAAAATGCTTGACTTTTCGAGCACCGGTTATCGTCGAAAAGCTGCTTTTTTCTTCAAATACTAGCGCGCACCGAATTCAAAATTCGCTTGTCAGTTTCGCTAGAATGAACATTTTTCATGTTTGTCTTTGGTTATATATATATTATTGTGTTTAGATAGTTTCGAAGACGATCACACACTACTGAACAGTAACGTTTCGATCTTTATTTTAATTCTTTCGAAAAATTTAATAAAATATCAATTATTATCAATATCGTGAATACGAGAAGAGATCCTGTTCGGCACAGACCTGTATCACAGACCTTTTAAAGAAAATTCTGAATACATTTGATAAATTTTCACTTGTAATGCACTGAAAGTGCGAATCCTCAAGGGTGCTTCTAAAGGGCGAGGGTGCATAAATTTTGAACTCCGCCGACAGTTAACTGACACAAATATCTGCGTACGAACACGTTTCAGTTTGAAAATGTGCGTTACAACTTAAATAAACCTGTTAGTTACCCTGGATTAATTAATTGAAAAAGACTGAAGAGGATGTCTTTATTGGTTTCGGTGAAAATAGCTGATGATACTGTATTTAAACGATATTGATATAAACTGGTTTTTTAACGACAATATTGAACGGAATACGCCGATCTGTTGTCTATACAGGAAGCTGTCTCTTCTTTTTTGAAAACCTGCCAATGCCTAGATTATAGTGACATAGTAATAACAGGTGTTTTGCCATCGATGCTTCGACGAAAATATCGCTTAGTTCATTTTTCAATAATGCTCCATTTAAACTGGGCAAAACCGTTCGAACAAAAGTTTATGAACGTGCTGTCATGTACAAAAGTTATTCTTCCATATTTATCGCTTCAAAAAACCAACGGAAATGTCACTATGATTAACATTCTTCATTTAGAAAGTCTCGTAATTATGTTTAAACACACTTCTCCGTTCGGTAGTTT